AATTGACTCTATTGGGCTTCTCTTTCCCAGGAAGTCTGGGACAAGCTCTCCTGCTTGTTCCATTCTCTTCCCTGGAGATCCTGAAGTGCCTTCCAACTATTGCTGTATTTATTCCCTTTTATGCCTGTTTTAAGTGACAAATTTAACAGCACTATGTTTTCTCATTCCTTGGTGGCACTTTGTTGCACCTTTGCACAGGCAGGGAAGGAATAGTGGGTTACAAATTATAATTTGTAATACCTGGATTGGGAAAGCACTAAGGAAGTTTTTGAGCAGGGGAACGGATAAACCTGACATGATTCAGGGCTGGTGATGGCAGAAGGAATTTCAAGCAAAAATTGCAAAAGATTTTTAAGACTGTTGATAACAAGGTGAATTTTGAAGGGATGGGTGTCTTTTCTTAAAAACATACTTCCTAGTATGACGCATGTGTTCTGCTCCTAGAAGTATGTTTAATGCTTATGTATTACTAATTATGTTTAATTATTATTATTTAAGGAATAGGGAGAATCCATGCTTTTGCCAGAAATCAGCAAGGAAGTTTTTACGTAGGGACCTGGTCATCTTCTGTTTTCTGTGCTGCTGCAACTAAGCTGCTGCCATGATCTGAGTCAGTTAATTCAGAGCTACACTGGAATTATCTACTTGAGCTCTCAGCATAACTGGATTGGGGGTGGGGTGAACATTCTTCATTTTTAAGGATATGTTACTATCTTCAGCTGTGAGCTCTATTTTATTGGCCTTTATACATTTGCTTTGGCACAATAATTCAACAAATTCAAGTCTTAATGTAATGGCTGTCATGAAGTGTTTTAATAAAGAAAAAGATGGAAAATAAGGACTTAAAATGGGATGAAAGGAATGCCATTCCTAACTGAGATTTGCTGCATTTAAATAGCAGCTGTTTACTGAACCTTCTGCACTGAGGTCTGGCCTGCCTTCTGGAAAGGAGAAGAGAGGCCAGGCAGCTTGCCCATACTTCCGAAGATGGTAAATGACAGAAGCACGCAGAAAACCTTTCCTTCTTTTACTGTGAAACTTTCCATTAAAATGTATCTATTTTAAAAGAGCAAACCCCCTTTGTTGCATCCTTATATGGCAGATATGGCCATCCTGCTTCATTATAGCTCTGCCCTCCCTGATGTGGGAACGCACAGTGTAACGTACACTTTCTCAGCATTCATGTTTTATTGATAGTAACTTCCTAGCTGTTCACGAAGAGCTTGGAGAATGTAAACAAATGGTAAAAGCTAATTAGTGTGAAGTAGCAAAGCTTTATTTCTAGCATGTGTCTGCAAAGACTCACTCTGTGCCTCGTGCAGCTCTCTAGGGACTGTCATTGTTTATTTTGGGCTATGGGCTGATGGCTTTTCTAAGCTTGATGCCCCAAAATTTCTGTGCCTATCCTGTGAGCAGAGGTATGGGGGGATGACAAGCAGTTATGCTCTCAATAAGACACGCAAAGGTAGATAATGAAAGAGACATTTTGGCTCTGAAGTGTAATGTGGAAGAAGAGATAGAGCTGTGTTTTGCACCTCCCTCTTTATCTCTTTTCCACTGTGTGTGTCTGTCTGTTGCAAGCCTGTGATGTTTTGTGTAGCTGGAGTGGAGCTGAAAGTGAGAAGAAAGTTTTCTCTTTGTGCTCATTGTTCCTTGCAGTGTTACACATATTTCTTTGGGACAAACTTTTGGTCTGTGGGAGACTCAGCTGCGGTGCCTAACTCAGAACTGAAGAGATGAATTTCAGTTCCTGGAGCAGCATCATGAGACTGCCTGTGGATTTGTCCCATGAGGAATAATGGTGTGCTTTGCTGTATGTACCCCAGGGCTGGGAGAGAGGAGCTTGGCAGAGAGGTAGCAGACTGTTGGGCCTCGTTTACTTTATATCCCCGCTGCCTAGTGCCTTCTGATATTCTGCATAAGGTTAATTAAAATAAATCAACTGTAAGCAAACTGCTGCAATAGAAGGAAATCAAACACCACGTCATAGTAGCACAACAAGGCTCATATTTTGAACATGGATTTTGCTGTACCTAGATATAATGTGTAAGCCCATGTATCTGTGACCTGTTTCATTTCTTCCCAAATACATAATCTATAAATATTCTATTTCTTTGAGTAAAAGTAATAACAGAGCTCAACTTGTTCAGCATTGATGCATCACTGTTGTTTCCACTAACAATTGAAATATTTTTCTGCTAAAGGCAGTATTACAAAAAAAATTGATAGAAAATGACCCTCCCAATAAATTATTCGCTGTATACAAATATAAAGCTGTGGCAATGAATAAAAGCAGAAAAATCTCCCTTCCTTCAAGTCAATGTGGGAAGAACACAGAAGGTTCCCTTGGTTATCATGCAGACATGAGAGGAATAAGGGCTTCTTCCATCAGCTATGGTATGAATCCTGGACAAATTAAAGTGCTGCCAGGGAGTCAACTGTGCTCTGGTGAAGGACAGTCTGAGAGTATCATCCCAGTGGTCCAGTCCTTATTCTGACCCCAGGGAAAATAGTTGTGCTGGCAGGAAACCATTCTCATGAGAAAACCCAGACGCATAGATTTATGATGTAAATAGCTTCCCATATTGTCCTAATGGCCTAGCCAAAACCTCTTAAGTTTTGTACACATGAGAAGAAACTTGAAGTCAATCACTTCTGTTATGTTTGTTAATGAATGAGAACACACACTGTTAAGCAACCTTGAAGGAAGAATCTTTTTCTAGAGTGCTTTCCTCTACGTACCGTTTGACCTCTGTACTTCACAAATTCTCTTTATGCTATTCCTTACATTATAGTTTTCTTGTAGGAAACATTAAGGGGTGAGGGTTATTAATTTTCTTTAGTTAGTGCCACAACTCCTCTGGTATCGTATTTATATTGGATCTTCATTTGTGCCTCCATACTACTGTGTTTATTCAGCTGTCCTAGAGCTTCTTTCTGAGACCACTTCAGGGCTGATTTTAAACCAGCTTCTCCATCCACGCTCCCTTTTGTATAAGCTTGCATGTTCCACTGTTCAAAAGTACTTCCTGCCAGATGGTCCCACAATTTAATGCATTCCCAAATCCTGTGAATCAGAAAAGGTCTGACCAATTTCTCAGAAGAGGAACCTTAGGAATTTTTGTCAAAGGATTTTTTAGAGTATCAGTTTGCACCTTTCTAAACACAAGTTGTGAGGTCATTTCTTAATCTTTCTTTTTAGCTTTTACATTATTTTGATTTGGAGAGAAAATACGTGCAAAATGGGTTAATTTTTTTTATTTTAAAACGTATTAATTGCCCAGTTTAATTAAACTTATCCTGGCTTATTAAATATAATTCCATTACAAACATATTTACATTTTATAAGGCATCGGCAGGGCAAATAAGCCAGTTAACTTTTTTTTGGTTTATGCTCTGCATAATGCAGATGACAGAAAAATGGTTTAATATATAGGCTGGAAATATAAGAATCTTAACAATATGATTTTCACTGTGCTGCTTTTTTGATATGCTGGTTACTATCCTGGTTACAGGCCTACTCTTATTTTGGCTTTGATTTTTTTTTTTATAATCAAAATATTCTAGTAAGAGGAAGAAAGAAATGGGTTTAGAACAGGATGCCATCAGTATGTAATTTGCTTTAGTGTGACTTGAATTTGCTTCCAATGCCACCGTTTGTCTATGGATCTCCCTTGAAGTATCTGTGACTTTACTAATGAATACATGGCTTTTTATCAGGAAACCATTTCCTGGTTTATGTCCATCTCCTGTTGCTTTAGAAATTTCCACTTAAAGACAAGAGAAGCAAAGCCTGCAGACAAGGTGAATTGACTTGTAATTTTATCATGTATTGGATATTTGCTATTTGTTTTTACCTCTGCAGAAAAGAAATACATAAAACCAACTTCCTTTAATAGTAAAAACAAACTTTTGTGCTGCCAGAAGAAAGTTTATAAATGTAAATTTTACTGAGTCATAGTGGAAAACAAATGAAAAGTCAACATTATTTTTCTTCCTTTTTTTTTGTCTGCCTTTTGGAAAAATTTGATTATTGGCTCTGCAATATTAGCATTCTAGCCAAACTTCTTTGATTTGGAAGAATTTGCAAGGCATGTGCATCTAATTAGGATGCCATTCCAATGAATGAAGGAGGTGACTGCTCCTCAGTTTACAGGTAATGCTGCCAGTAACTCTGAATGTGGGAGGAAAAAAACAACCAACCAACCTTTTCCATGGCAAAGGCATTTTCACCTCCTAGCAGATCAGAACAGGAAGTATTTCTAACCTGTTTCTAAAAATGCTTTTTGACTGACACCCAAAAGGCTGTTGTCCTGGTGTTTGAGTACTATATTTTAAAAAAGAGCTGAGGGTGCTTGGATTACTCTTGAAGTTGTTGTCATACCCATTTCCTAATGGAAAAAAGTGACCCTTTCAAGTCTGGCACATATTGTCCTTGCTAAGATATAGAAAATTGTTGGATTTCAGTAGCTTTCCTTTGAAAAATACTCTGATGTGCTGCGCGTTTCAACAATGCCGTTTACTCAGAAGCTGATTTTTGGAGTTTCTCAAAAACAGTTTCAGTGTGAAGTTTCCCAAATAATGAGAACAACCCAGTTAATGTAATGAGAAAACTATCTTGTTATGATGTTTTGGGAGGTGTGAGTCCAGGGTGTCCGTCAGGCTCACCCTGCCAGCTCCCCTGACTGAGGAGTTGGTTCCCTCCAGCAGTCAGCTGGTGGCAGCAGCAGAGTTTAAGGAGTGGTTATATGTGGAAAAACGCAATAGCCAGAGATCTTAAAATCTTTGGGAGAAGATAGCTGTTTTACAGTTTCTGCCACTACCTTCCGTTTTGTTTATTATTCTCTTTATTTCTTTCCCCCTGCAGAATTCACCCCAGCCTTAACAGAAGGAGAGGCGTTTTGGCTCTGCCTATGCTATTCAGCCTATAACTTCTGTGGACTGGAAATTTTGCTGTTTCATTGTCATCAGCAAATAATTGTGGCATCTCTTTGCTGTAGCAAACTGGGAAATTGAAATGAAGAGAAATACAAAAAAGTTGTTGCTGTGGCTGCTGATGTTCTTCTCTGATACTGTGCCATTCAGCTATGAGAAATCGATGAAAGAGCGAGCTATCGAGTTGATGCAAGATACGCGTTTAATCGATGGGTATATAAAATATGTTCAACTAAACTCTTTGTGAATCTTGACAAGTGAGGAGGAAATGCTAAAGTGTGTTTAGATGAGTAGAGACATAGGCTGTTACTAGCACATAGCAGTTAGTTACTGTTGCAGTGATTTATCTGGAAGGAGTTATGGTTCAGAAGGCGGTTACTATAGGATCAGGTTATTCTAAATGCATTTGTGATTTTCTGCTCAGGTTTCACCACTTAATTATTGTTTCCCTTGATACAATATCCTTGTCTCCTTCCTGTAATTTAATGGCATCTTTCATTAGCAATGACTTCTGTGCAAAGCTAGAAAGCAGGCATCATACCTTGAAAGGGTACCCTTACAATTTGAAGGAATGATGTCTGTGGTGAGTGTATTTTGACCTGGGAACATGAACACTGATTATTTATAGCACAGGCATCACTGATTATCTACCACAAGTACTTGCTTCTAAGGAGCGTGTTGGTCGATTTCAGTTCTTCCATTCCTTCAGAAACAATAGGGAGAAAAATAGATACAGAACCACAATGGCTATAAAAATGGGAGAAGCAAAAAAAAAGTTTCTTGCTGTCTAATTAAGAAATAAAGCATGTTTGCAAAAGAGTGGAGACTTTTAAGCATATGTTACTGCAAGGATTATTGGCAATTAATGGTCTAAGGGACTATGAACAGTGGAAGAAATTACATTTGGGTTAGAAGGGGAACAGCTCATTTCTATCACAAGCTCTATTTGTTTTCAATCCTAGCCACAATGACTTTGCACTGCGGCTGAGAATATTTTACCAAAATAGACTCAGTAGAGTCAACTTAAGAGAACTCAACAAGACACACACAAACCTTGCAAAACTTCAGGCTGGTTATGTGGGAGCTCAGGTACGTACTGCCATGGTTCTGAGTCTCAGAACATATTTTTACATTTGCCTCCATCTCTTCCCAATCACAAAAGTACTCCTGGCCTTGGTTTTGGCTCTTTCTGTTGAAATAGAAAAAACAATCAAGCTGAAAAGTTACGGACATTTTTCCATAACATTTGTGTTTCAAAAGTTTGTGTTTTGTAATACAGGTACCCTTAACCAAAACATTTGGGTTTTGATAAATAAATTAAAGTAAACTTGTGTCTGCTTTCCTGCATGTACTGTGGAATAGCTGTGTGTCAGGATGCTTGAATCATGTCTGGAGTGGATGCTCTTGCTTTGCATCATAACTCTTCCTTTGGGGGGAAAAACTATAGTGGCAACTCTCTTGTAAGCTATAGGAAATTATTTTGGTCTGTTTTCATGAACTTCACAATTAGCAAATGAAAATTTCCAAGTTGAAACACAAGTTATCTAGTTTACTTGTCAATGTCTCTTTCAGTTTTGGTCAGTGTATGTTCTTTGCAGCGCTCAGAACAAGGATGCTGTGCGTCTGACCTTAGAGCAAATTGATGTTGTCAAGAGGATGTGTAACAGCTATGAAGAGCTTGAATTTGTGACAACTTCCCAAGGTGATGATTTTTCTTGTAGCAAAAATTTTTTAAACGGAATTGCAGGAGGTATGTGCAAAAGACAGAGCTGCAAGCGAGCAAGTTATCCTGGTTTAAAGAGTAACTTTAACTTCGGATTTTCCACTGAACCACAATAACTAACTCTGTGCACAGTCCTGGTCCACTGCAGTTGTGAGAGAATTTGCCATTTAGACATGTTCTACATAACATGTAGAAGCATAAGCTCCTGTTCTACAAAAATGTTAGTATTACTGCTTGCCATTTACAATAACAATTGTTGCCCAGTAGTGCTGGCTTCTTATCTGTCATGAAATTACTTTGGAATTATCTTGCTTTGTTGTTTCCAGGTATCTCTGACAGTAGAAGGATCGCGTGTTTGATTGGAATAGAAGGTGGTCACTCCATTGACAGCAGTTTGGCAACACTGAGG